GTTGAGACTTGCCGTAATCTACACACTGCGCTAGCTGACCCTATCGAGATCATCTTGATATGGTCATCTTGACGAGATGTGGAAGTGAAGTCACCCTCAAGTAGTGTTGTCTCTGAGCTTCAGAGATTTATAACACAAGTAAAACCGCCTTATGGGAAGCTTAACAAGTGCAGGGGGTAAAATAGCTAGGCTAGAAGCCAGCTACTATTGTCTCCACTATCACATGATTGTGTCGGCGTATCAGCGAAGTGGAGGGATGATTATCATCACAGTGTGGATCATTTCCTCATCTAGCTGTTTGTATGTATGACTATTGACCACGGTGTTGTTGGGAGGGTTTTGATGTATGAACTATTGACCACGGTGTTGTTGGGAAGGTTTTCAGTGATGATCGTAAAAGCTGTACATCGGGTTCGTGTCCGATTTTAGAGAACTTGTATCATAAAATGTGTGTCTTGAATTCGCTAAAACTCTTCGTTTTTAAAGTTCTTTCCGGTCGGTTTATCATTCATTCTCAGGTGGAGTGAAAAGCGTCTATCTAAGCCGCCTATATAATTTTCTCCTTACAGCGGGGTTGATGTGCTGATCGTTGGTTATGAATAACCAACGATGCTTCCGAGAATCGAACCGGGGTCACGAGGATGACAACGTTGTATTCTACCACTGGACCAGTGATGGTCTACTCTGGTGATGGTTTGTACATTATGTAATGGTCGTTTCCGGGAATCTTAGATGAATTATGAAAGTGAGCAACTTATTGGTTGTCTTGTCAGGAGAGGAGGAAATGTTGTAGAAACTAGAACGTGAGTATCTGCTCGAACATGCACCATTTTGATGCTGTCGACGTATCTTTGCCGCATGTGCGTGCGAACTTCGCACTGCGAAGATTTATGACAATAATTTCTGGCGGTCATGGATAGCAACCACTGGAGATCGCTCCTGACTAACCGCAAGTAAGTCTATGAGTTCCAGTAGTAGTAGTAGTAGTAGTAGTAGTAGTAGTAGTAGTATACAGCTTGATGAAAATCGATTAGCTGATCGATTTGATCATACACTCGCTGAGTAGTTGATAATATGATAACTGCTTAGATACCCTCTTAACTGACAGGTTTATGCGATAGTCATGTATCATAATTCAATTCTTTCGCTGCGATAATTCTCCCTCAGTCGAGTTGGTCAATTAGTGACTTGCATAATCTTGCTCTCTTACAATTCCCCAACGGTCGATTCAGCATTTTTTCTATCGACATTTTTTATGCTCGCACGTAGCAAGGACACTGTGATGGAGGAGGTAGGTTCAGTTTCACAGCGCGGGAGCGTCACGCGCCACGAAATTCGAATTCAGGTGGATAGTCCAACGGCGAAGCGGATAGTACATCGGGTGCGGCGAGATGGTAGTAGCGGTGAAAGAGCTGGTTTTTATCGGAAATATTTTCCATAAAAATTGGGAAATTTTGAAATCTGTAGCCGAATTTTCTGAAATTTTCACAGAAAAAAAGAGAATTTGTTGAGAATTCCGGTGTTTTTTCAGGTCGTGGTGAACCCGCGAAGGTTCGAATCCCGGCACCGGCATTGAAGAGACATCCGGGTGCCCGGCGAAGTAAGTGATGAATAATACTTTCCATAACAGATTATCTTCAGAACTGTCTGACGTTCAATCACTGTCGGTGCATAAAGTGGCGAGAACTGACGTAACCGAGAAAGCGGGTAATCGAAAGGTCCCGGGATCTATCCCCGGCGCTGTCGTTCTCCTCCTAGGTTCGTCAAGGGGCGTATATTTGTACATAATGCCGGGTCTTAATAATATGGAATCCGAGAGCGCTACCACGGGCTGTGGAATAGGACATGATCTGACCATCGAAAATTCTCCGCGGCAATCATCGAGTTGTGCGTGCTGTGGAGCTGACATACACGCAAATGACACTCGGTGAGATATCTTGCGCATGCGTGCATACCATATTTTCGTCAATTCACATGTCTCAGCTGCCTCTGCAAGAACTGCAACCTCTCATTTTGTTCAACTTGCACTGATGGCGCCACACGAATAGGCGAGCTGAACGGCGACTTGCAATCTTGCATTTCCTCAACGCAGATAAGGCCGCGTTTCGGTCACTTCGATGCCCGAGAAATCACACTTTGAAGGACTTTATCGCAGACCGGCCAGGATACGTTTGTAATGTGTGCGACGCGAGTTCGCTTCAGAAAGGGTCGAAAATGTGAGAAAATTTTCGCAGCCGGAAAACTTTTGATGCGCCGGTTTTGGTCAGAATGGGTTGCCGAAGATGCAATTTTGACATGTGCAAGAAATGTGTGGAGGTCGGCTGCAAAGCTGGTGGGTTTTGGGCCTATTTTGAATCTTGGGTAGATGAACCTATGATACTTCTGTGGCAGTGTGGGAATATATGCACATGGTTAACTAAATGAAAATTTTGAAAACTTTCAAAATTTCGGGAAATCGTTGGTTTTTGTACACTTCTACCCAAAAGCGTGTGTAGATTTTAATAATGTTGTGGGAAAATTCACGAGCTCAGGAAACCAAAAATGTATTCCCCAAAACTGTTATGCAGTTTCCATATCGAGTAACCTCCACGACCAGCCGTCTCCCTCTGACTTCGCCGCTCTCCATTGTACTAATGGGCATCCTCTGAAAATCTTCACAGTGCGTAACGGAGCGCATGCGTGCAGCTGTTGTACTATGGCCAGCATCCCACGAGGAACACAGGCGTAATGCGACGGTGTGAACGAGATGTGAATCTTTTCGTCTCAGATTCGTCTGTAGTCGTTGCAACTACGAGCTGTGCTTTGAGTGTGCAAGTAAGTTCACCAGCGGAGTAAATTCCCTCGAATGATTCGGATATTTTAAAGTCGCAAAAATTTATTTGTGTTGACATTTAGTTGCATTGAATGGAGCATAAAAGTCAGGCCGTTCGGATAGCCGGAAAATTACGTAAAAATTTATAAATCTTGTAGTGATTTTTTTTCTGTATTTTTTTCGGGTATATATACGTGAGTATTCACATAACTCACTTCTGGTTGACAGTATTCCGCCGTTTGACTTCGAATCATTTTGGAATTTCTTGATTTTATCAAAAGAGTTTTCTGTCACTTTTTCAATGTTTCAGGAAAGGCTCTCGTCCTGCACAACTCCGGGAAACCTGCGATTACAGATACCCGCATTCTCCTCCGAAACGTGAGTTGGGAATAATAAGGAATATACGCATCGAATTTTCGCTGGCATTTCTCGTTTGGTGGTACGACAGGTTGACACTTTACTAGAGGATAAAGATACTCTCTCGGATACGTGTCGAAGATGGTTCAATACATACGATGTTAATAAGGACGGTGAGCTGGTGATGGATAGCTGATAATCGATCAGCTGATCGATTTCAGGGTATCTAAATTTCACGGAGCTCACAAACTTGTGCGGGCAGCTTTTGGGAGATCTGGAGGTGCCTGGCCTTGACACTCAAATGGTCGAACAGGTGAGATTTTTTTTTGTGAAAAACAATCAGAATTTGTTTTTTTTTGAAAAAAATATTGTGAGAATGATGGATTTTCTCACCCGTGTAATCATTCTGGTGTGATAACTATACATGAAAGCAGAATGGAAAGAGTTTTGTGGCGCGCGCTCATACGCTCGCCGCCAGCATCTACATTTCTCTCTTGTTCGAATGTATTTTCCATTGGCAATTTCGTGGCGCGTGAAGTTGTTCTGTTCCCTGTTTAGTACATGAAGAAGTATGACGTGGATGGGGACGAGCGGTTGACACCAACGGAATTCTTCGAACTGTTCGTCCGCCTATTAGTCAAAGCGAAGTGGGGTCGATTGTTCTGGCGCGTTCGCCGCAAGGACAGCACATCGTGTAGGTCGCTCCACGCGCCAGTTGCGGTTAGACGAGAAGCTCTCGTAGGAAAGAGAAGCAAGGGTAGTAGAGGCATGGATGTTTTTGGTGGTGTAGAAAATGTGACACACATGGTCAACTACATGTGTTGTTGAGAATAGTAAAATTCTGACGAATTCGGGCAGAATTCTCGAGTGTAGTGAGAATTCCCCTACAATTTTCACCCAACATATTTCATTTTCCCACACTGAGTGTGTTTGTTTTCATTTTTATCGCCATGCGAGCCAGTGTGGAGAAATATGCACGTGGTCAACTACATGTGTTGGTGACAGTATTAAAATTTCGAGGAAATTTGGGAAAATCCTCGTTGGTTTCTGTACACTTCTAACCTAGTTCGTATATAAGCTTCAATAATAAGTGAGGAAACTCCTGAGCTCAGCTGAGAAAACCAAACATATACTCCTATTCCAACACTGGTATAGATATAAGCCACTTTGAGCACGTGTCGAAGGAATATATGTTCGCTTTCCTCAGCTCACTTCGGGATTCTCCGAAGCTAATTATAGAAATTTGGGTAGGAGTGCATGGCAACCGAAGAGAATTTCCCTAAAATTTCTGTCGAGTTTTCATATCATCACCAACACATGTAGTTGGAATCATCTGTGGAGCTGTTCACAGTGCTGGGATATATCTTCTCTTTCCTCGACTGAGCTCAGAAGTTTCCTCACCTAGTCTAGAAGTTTATATACCGATTCGGGTAGAAGTGCACAGAAACCAACGAGATTTTCTCAAAATTTCCTCAGAATTCCTATATTGTCACTAACGCATGTAGTTGATCGTATGCATATTTTCCCACACTGGCTGTTCATATTATGAAATTCCTTATGAACTTCATAATGAATTTCGTGGCGCGCGGTCATAGCATTGTAGTTGCAGGATCTCCGTCCGCCCGATACTCGCTGAAGGAAGATCTCGGTCACGGCTCTTTCGGAGTCGCAAAAAGGGTAATTGATAAAATGACGAAAAAAGAACGAGTAGGTGTAGTGAGGAATTTGGGCGATTTGAGTGTATTGGAGTTCCACGACCCGTTTTACGCGAAGTGGCGTAAAACTCGGTGAAAAACGCGATATTCGCGGTGATATGCAGTAGTCGTGAAATATGTTTTTTATTACTGTTTTTCGTATCACTAGGGTGGAACTCAACGACGTCTACCGCTGAGCCACTGAGCAAAGAACTTGGCTTGTGCAATTTATGCAACCTGCCCGACGTCAATTTTCCAAACAGCGGAGATGTACGGGAAGGTTTTTAAAGCTGCAGAATTCAGCTCAGAACATACGCCAGGATTTTTCCAAGGGAAAAATCTTACTTTTTAGCTTTCTTTTCTTTTTTGTGATTGGGTGGAAAATTTCTGATCAGGATTTCCGATTCAGGTGATGAAGATTATCAGTAAGAATGCAGGCCATTCCACGCAAGAGGAGTTGGAGCTCGAAATTGAATGCATGAAGAAGATGGACCACCCGCATATCCTCAAGTTGTTCGAGTAGGACAAGTGTGCCAAAATATACACATGGTCAACTACACGTGTCGGTGGCAATATGAGAATTTTGGGAAATTTTAGCCGACAGTCCTAATTTTTTTTCGACCCGACATTTTTTTACCGACAGTTTAGGAAATTTTGGCGCCACGAAATCGCCAATAGGTTTTTTTGGGAAATTTTGATTACTTTCTGTACACTTTCAACTGATTTCGTACATTAACTTTAATAATTAGTCAGGAATCTTCCGATTCGAGGCGAGCAACACATATTCCGACACTGTTTTGGACAGACTCAACGTGATTTCGTAACTGAGAAAAGATTCAGCTACTTTGGGAATTTCCGTTCCCACAAAGTGGGTTTCGCTTTTCTCGGAAATTCAACCAAGTATTTTCTATTCCGACCGATAGATACGAGAAAATTAGAATGAAAATTTCAGATACTATGAAGATAGAAACAATATGTATATCATCACGGACATATGTGAGGGAGGTGATTTACTCAAAGTAAGCTTGCCTCCATTAAAGAGTTTTTCGCGGGTAGAATCACTCATGCGTCAATATTGATAGTTTGGGGGAATCAGTGGAGTTTTACTCATTTCATGTGAAGTGGCGTAAAACTCGGTTAAAAGCGCGATACTCGCGGTGATGTGCAGTAGTCGTGAGATATGTTTTTCACCAGTGTTTTCATATCACTAGGGTGGAATTGCAGTGTGTTATGCTAGTCAGTATATATAGAAGACAACGGACTTTCACCCTAGTGATATGACAAACGCTAGTGAAAAATATATTTCGCATTTCACTCCGCGAAAAACGCATGTGAGCAGAGAGTAACGCGTAAAACACGTGGTGTATTTCACGCGAAATGGAGTGATTTGTCCCGCGTGATTCGCCAGGTGTTTTCAATTCACTTCATATCGTGTTTTTCACATGGAGTATTACGTCATCCCACGTAAAACGGGTGAAATTCCATTGAGCTCTACACGAGAATGTCGCCCTGAAATCCATAGATTTTATGCTGGAATCTTGCGCATCACAGCGGAGCGAAGTGTTTCACGATGTGCATTACAGGGTTGAGATATGGATGAATTCGATTCTGGAGATGCTTCTTCGCGGCCAGCATTTCCTGGTATTTTTTCTACTTTTTGTGACATTCGAATAGAGAAATACTATTCTTCCCAACTTTCTGTGAGGAAATAAGAATTTTCCAGGGAAGTGGAGTGAAGCAGAGTCATCGACGTTTGAGTAGATATCAAAGAGCAGTATAAAAAATGCACATACTACATGTGTTAATGACATAAGGAAACTCTGAGGAAATTTTTGAGGAAATTTTTTGGGGGTTTTCTGTGAATTTCTACATCTAGTGAGGAAACTGCTGAGCTCAGCTGAGGGAACGGATATTCCAACATTGGAGTGTCCAAACTTGTTTTACGTGAAGTGGCGTGAAACTCGGTGAAAAACGCGATATTCGTGGTATGCAGTACACTACGTGTCAATTTGATATGCAAACGTGTCTTATTTTGGAAGACAATTCATAGTGAACAAGTTGTCGCTATCATCACAGTCCCAAACGGGCAATTTCATCACAACACATGTTCACAGCCATTGTTACACTGTATATGCGGTATGGTTTCATATTGATTCTCATTAACTTCGAAAAATGACGCACATTTGCATACCAAATTGGCACGCACTGTAGTCGTGAACCACGTTTTTCATATCACGGGCGAAGCTCCACTGGTATCGATGACGTGTTTTCGCGTTGTAGGTGATTGAAGAGGCACATCGTAGTAGAATACGGAAGCCGCTGACAGAGAGGTGGATCTGTGCCGTGTAATGATCGATTCCGTGTTTGTGGAGAAGAGTCTTCATTTTTCTCAGTTTCCGCCAAGCTCTCGATGCTGTCGCTCACTGCCATTCGCATGGATTGATTCATAAGGACATCAAAGCGGAGAACGTCCTTTTGATGAACCGCGTCCCGCCGGGGAAAAGGCAGAGTGAGATTTGCGGAGTTTATCCTGTTGAGAAAATTGGGGTTTTATCGGACGAATCTGAGGAGCCTGGAGAAGAATGCGCAAGGTTTGGTATGCTCGTCGGTAAAGAATTTTGAGGAAATCTTGGGAGGTTTTTGTTGTTGTTATTTGTATACTTCTACCCTAAGTCATATGTGGAATATATGTCTGGTTGCCTCATATGTGCTCGAAAACTTCATCACTACATTGCGAAAGTTTACACTCGATTCAGGGTAGCGCTATCGAGATTGCCCTGAAATTTCCTCAGAATTTTCATATTGTCGCCAACACACGTAGTTGACCACGTGCATACTCTTTCATGCTGATGCGAGCTGTTATAATATAGTGAGAAAACTCCCGAGTTTACTGAGAAAACAAAACCTGTATTCCAACACTTCCATCAGGAGATGATATCGATTGATATTAAGTCGACTCTCCTGGTCTGGTTACTTCAACCTATGACCAGTTTTTCAGAAATCCACGAGATGGAGCCTCATGTGATCCTCATAGACTTTGGTTTAGCCGAGCTTTTCGATCCAACGAGAGCATTTCAGTCCAAAGTGGTTGCCGGAACTCCTTACACGATGGCGCCTGAGGTCAGTGCGGGAGGGTCGAGTCTATGTTGGATTCTCACTGACGGTGAAAATCGCACATTGCAGTGGATCGCGGTGATCATCTATAACTATCGAACGCATTCTTCTCGGGGGTCTTGGCGACGTTGAGTCTGACATATTATGATGCGGACATACAATCCAGAGAGGGTAGATTTTGAGTTGGTTCGAAATATACACTGTGTAGAATCGACGATGATTTTCGACGTCTCACTAACTACGAGGGAGTTGGACCATGGAACTTGGAAGTTATATTACGTGGAGCACAAGAGCATACTTCCTCGTTGAGGTGACTGTGTGCGAGTCGAAAACCGGATATGCTGAGAATTTGTGGAGGAGTTCATATATTTCCTCGATACTATCTTCTTCTTCTTGTGCAGCACTTATTCTAGCAGGCGAGTAGTAGCCAGTATAGAGGTATAGCTCCAGGCTCAGTCACTGACTGAGCCCTAGTATGAGCCGGTAGACGGTGTGTTTCACGGCAGAGAGTTCGATAAATAGGAAGACCCTCCCCAGAGATATTCCGTTCGATACTGTGGAGTCGATAGTCGATCTGTTTCACGGTGCATCTCTGCATATTAATGAACCCAGGAATAAAACCCGTTTCTCTCAGGTATGGGCTTCAGCTCAGAATCGTTCCAAAACTTTTGGCCTTAAATGTGACGTTTACAGTCTCGGCTGCCTCCTTTTTCATATTCTAACGGGGAAAGTGAGTTCCGAAATCGATCATCGGGGCGCGCGATAAGGTCTCGTTGACGTCAGATACCCGTTATGCCGAAGGGTAATCATGCTAGAGAATGGCTACGGGCCATCGAGAAAGGGCCTGACTGGCCTGTGTTGGATACTTCTGGTGCATCCCCAGAATCTAGGAAGCTCGTCAGAGAGATGATGTGGTGAGAGCTCGGGTCAATCTTTCGGCAGGAGTCTTATCTGGTGATTTTTACTAGAAGGGGACGAGTTTTCCTTTCTTAAAGTATATTTTTGATAACTCCCATATTGTCATTTATTCCCTATGGAGCTCTGAAATAGTGAGTACCATAATCTAGTTGTCCTTCTAGCGAGTAATCTCGAGACACTCGAGAAGCACGCAAAGTTAATTCGCAGTTAATTCTCGAAGTCGAACTCAGTGAACTTATTCATCCATAGATGTAGGTAGACTTAAACTCTGATACCCAGGGTATCATACCCTCATTCCTTAGCGCTAGGATCATGCTCGGAACAGCCTTACTTGAACTCTGCATGCTTTCATCGCTGCTCTCTTCAGTGTGAACGAAAGACAGCGCCCATCTTCTCGTCAGTGCCTTCAGAGTGATTGGTTTTCTCTCTACCCGCCCGATCACCCGCAAAGACTTAATCCCGTGGCTGTCCGCGTAGGTCACTTGTGTATGCCTCTGTATATCCTTGAAGGATAATCCTTCCGAAGCTATCTTCAATGAAGAATAAGATCTCGATTGGCTTCATAGTGAGATTTTTCTCAGGAATTGGCA